CAGCAATGTGAGCGATCGCTGGTTCGAATCCAGTATGTTTAGTTAGATTTTTGAATGCTAGTGAAGACAGTGCTCCTATGAATAGGACTTAAATCCTAACTCCTGTGTGAAGACACTCGTGGTACAGTGGACAAGACAGTGCGCTGGGAACTCAAAGATCGCAAGTTCGAATCACGGATTGGACACTCCTACAAAAGACATGAAAGACGTTAAAAACATAAACAGCAGATTCAAAAACTCAAGTCAGGAAAACAGAACACAAGAATACTACCCCCACATGGAAGCCAGTCGAAGTCGTCGAAGAACGAATACAGTTGACAGCTGTAGGTCACGTGTAACAACAGACACGAGGAGCATGGCTGCTCTCCAAATGGGTCCCTTCTTTTGTATTGACCCCCTAAGGATTGCTAATCCCCCTTTCTAACTCTTCCCCCAAAAATAATATATCGCCCCTTTTAAAATGTATTGAGCCACAAATTAATGAATATTCATGAGCACAGAAACTGCAACGTCATGAATAAATTAGCATAATTTTAAAAAATTTGCATAAAGTGTGGGTACTCCTTCTGGAGCTCTGCCGCTTATATATTTCCATGACTACTATGACTTACAATGCAGTATGATTTATGTCAAACAGATGTTTTCAATATATGCTTACATTATGCCCAAAGGAATAAGCCCTCATGACATTATTACTTGGTACATGTACATGGCAATCTCATTTCAAATTTATGTTGAGCACCATTCTGCAATATCTATATTCAACTCTAAATGTGATATTCAGAAGTATTCTATCTCAGCCTTAGAAAGTAATCTCTAGGAAAGTTATTTATGTCATGTGTTGACAGTTCAGATAGTATGTGAAGTGTCTTGAACCATTATGCACATCACTGCTGTCATCTTTTTAGAACCGTGATGGGCTGCATTTGAACCATCAGATTAGCTTAAGGTTTCTTTGTAAAATTAGTATTAATATTTGAAGAAATGTGATTTATTGGGATTGCCTACCTTTTTGATTTTCTATGTCAATACTTTATTCAGGAAATTCATTGTTAAACGATACACTCTCAAAGATCTAGTTTTATCATAGGCAAAGTTTTATTAGTTGATCTATGTTTAATTAGGACATACATGTGTCCACTACAGTACAGTCCAGGTGTAACTTCACTTTTAAGCATGTTATTAGCTGGATTTGCGTTTCCATAAAAACTAATAATTTCAACTTATCTTTATAGTATTCACCTAATATGTTACTAGTATGAGATATAATTATTTAAATGAATTTCTCTCTGCATAATTTAGATTTTTTTAGCAATTATCTAAGCTAGTTTTAAATCATTCATTGTTGTTCTAAGCCATTATACATTTGATAAGTCTTCTTTTTATTAGCTCCGCTGTCGACTTTGTCGAGCGAAGCTTATCATATGAGTAATTGTCCGTCGTCCGTGTCAATGTTTTACTTTTTCGACTTCTTTTTGAAAACTACTAGCCTGAATGCTTTGATACTTGGTGTATATGTACCTTGGGTATACCTCTCTTAGGTTTGTTCATTTCATGTTGATATCTTCAATTCTCTAATTTTGGTGAATATTTTTGTCATTTTTGGTAAAAAGTGATATTTTCGACTTCTTGTTTAATTCTTCTTTAATTGAAATGTGCATTGCTAACAGTGGAGCTATCTCAGCTGAGAGGCTGCTTGTTGATTTTACTCTGTACACCTGCTATTCTGACCTCCCACAGTCAAGGTTATCATTAGCTGCTTTTGGATAAAACCATTTCTGGTGTATCATATTTTTTCTCTCTTTTAGATATGTTTCAGTTGTACTGCATGGAGTGATTGTAATTATCTGTTCCACTGTTTACTGGGTGATAAACTACATCCCTCTCCACAGTAAGGTTTGATAACATAGCTTCCCCACAGCTTGAAAAGTATTATAAATCTTAATTTTATAGTCAGTCAAGTCATTAAATACAACATAATCTGTTTTGTTCATTTATCAGTTTTGACAAAGTTAATTTCATTTGACAAACTGATGATTATAAAGCTACCACCCACAGATATTTCTCACAATTCATTTATTCATAAATGTCATTTACCAAAAATGATATGTTTATATATATTAGCCAATTATTATATTCTTATTATAATTCTTGTTACGGTTAAGGTCAAGGAAAACAACAGTGTC